CAGAGCAAATTTCTGTAGCGGGCTGTTCCCCACCAAATCTCATACACTAATAAATTTGTTAGTCTCTAAGGTGCCACAAGTCCTCCTGTTCTTCTTAATCAGACACTTATTGTCCTTTGGAGTCAAAAGAATTTATGTAAGATCCCAACTTAGTAACTTTGTGAGAAAATCGACTTAAATACAAATAATATTAAGTCTGTCTTAATGGTCTGTGTTTTAGAATTTGTTAAAAATTGTTGGTTGTTTTCTTTGAGATAATGGATGCAACCTTAAAACAAAAATTATGATTCCTCTCAGTGAATGACTCAATTTTTATTGAATACTTAATATTCTCGACTCTGTGCAATTCCTCAGTAACAAAATGTACTTCTGACAATAATAAAACATATATGGATTGTGAAAATTCCTAGTCATATTTCTGGTTAGAAGTAAGTAAAGACAGAATTAACAACCAAAAATTAGTTCTCTGATTAACAAATGAAAAGATGCCATGAACTCTGCTGGTGAAGTTGGAAGGAAATCATTTACCATAGGGTAGCTGAAAGCACATGGTCTTCTGGGGCCTGATACTCCACTGCTTTGCACCATGTGAATTCATTTACACCTGTACCAATTCAGAGTAGAAAGATACTAGTCTGATCTGGTAGTTTTATACCCAATTTATATTCACTTTGCACAGGTGTAAGTGACTGCAAGAGTTGCAAAGCAGTAGAGTATCTAGCTCTTCTTCCATGCTGCTCACATTTGCAGCAGACAGAAACTTTCCTTTCACCATAGCCATGCACAGAAGAAAGCAGTTGAGAGCAATTCAGAGTTGGTGTTTCAGCAGAAATTAGCTCAGTTGTCAACTGAGTAATTTGTCATCACAGGAATATGCAGCTTTTCAGGGACAAAGTCAGCCTAGGGTTGCAGATGTTATAGATTAGACTCAAGTAGCTGCCTTTTTCATTGGTTCTCAAACTTGTTCATATATCTTTGAACCTGAGCCATGGGTGAGCCATTCTTTTTAGGCATATCTGAGGAACTGTCCTAGATTGAGGTGTCAAGAGAGGAGGTTTGGGAACAAATTGATAAATTAAACATTGGTAAGTCAGCAGGACGAACCAGATGGTATTCATCCAAGAGTTCTGAAGGAACTCAAATATGAAAGTGTAGAACTACTTACTGGGATACGTAGCCTATCACTTAAATCAGCCTCTATACCAGATGACTGGAGGATAGCTAATGTAATGGCAATTTTTAAAAAAGGTTCCAGAGCTGATCCTGGCAATTACAGACTAACTTTAATAGCAGGCAATTGGTTGAAACTATAGTAAAGAACAGGATTATCAGACACACAGATGAACATGATTTGTTGGAGAAGAGTCAACATGGCTTTTGTAAAGGGAAGTCGTGCCTCGTCAATCTATTAGAATTCTTTGAGGGTGTCAACAAGCATGTGGACATGGATGATCCAGTTGATATAGTGTACTTGGACTTTCAGAAAGCTTTTGACAAGGTCCACACCAAAGGCTCTTAAGTAAAGTAAGAAGTCATGGGATCAGAGAAGGTCCTCCCATGGATCAGTAACTGGTTAAAATCTAGGAAACAATGGTCAGTTTTCACAATGTAAAGAGAAATAGCAGGATCTGTACTGGGACCTGCGCTGTTCAACATATTCATAAATGATCTGGAAAAGGAGGTAAACAGTGATGTGGCAAAGTTTGGAGAAGATACAAAATTACTCAAGAAGACAGTTAAGTCTAAAGATGACTGAAGAGTTACAAAGAGACCTCACAAAACTGGGTGACTGGGCAACAAAATGGCAGATGAAATTCAATGTTGATAAGTGCAAAAGTAATGCACATTGGGAAAAATTATCATATCTATACATACAAAATGATGGGATCTAAATTAGCTGTTACCACTGAAGAAAGAAATCTTGGATAGTTCTCTGAAAAAAGCTGCTAAATGTACAGCGGCAGACAAGAAAGCTAACAGAATGTTAGGAACTATTAGGAAACTGATAGATAGTAAGAGAAAATATCATAGCACCACTATATAAATCTATTGTATGCCCACACCTTGAATACTGCATGCAGTTCTGGTCACCACATCTCAAAAAAGATATATTAGTATTAGAAAAGGACAACAAAAATGACTAGGGGTATGTAAAAGCTTTGGTATATGGAAGATTAAAAAACTGGGATTGTTCATCTTAGAAAAGAGATGACTAAAGGGGGGATATGATAGAGGCCTATAAAATCACAAATGATGTGGAGAAAGTGAATAAGGAAGTGTTATTTACCCATTCACATAAGACAAGGATCGGGGTTACCCAATGAAATTAAACCTGTTGCCTATTAAACAAACATAAGGAAGAACTTCTTCACACAATGCATAGTCAACCATTGCCAGGGGATATTGTGAAGGCCAAAACAATAACTGGGTTCAAAAAAGAATGAGGTAAGTTCATGGAGGATAGGTCCATCAATGGCTCTTAGTCAAGTTGGCGAGGGATGCAATCCCATGCTCTGGGTGTCACTAAGCCTCTGACTGACAGAAGCTGGGACTGAACAACTGAGGGTGGATCACTTGATAATTGCCCTGTTCTGAACATTCCCTCTAAAGCTTCTGGCATTGACCACTGTCAGAAGACAGGATACTGGGCTAGATGGACCAATGGTCTGACCCAGTATGGACATTCTTATGGTCTTATATATCTTATTGGCGACTTTTGTGGACTACCTGCCCTTCTAGTTACGATTGCATGGACTATTCCCCCCACCATCAACCACACCCACCACTTTGAATAATATACCTGTGGCAACTATAGCAATTGTTTCTATGCAGAAGGAAAAATCAGGAAAGTGTGTTGATATATTTTAGGCATCTTTTAATGTTATTTAACATCATGGAGTAGCCAGTTCCACAGATCACTGATGGTCCACAGACCACAGTTTGGGAACAATTTGTATACCATTGCTTTAGTGACCCCTGCTGGCTGTCTAATACAGTGATCTGGTTATCTCCTTGGGCCATATCAGACCTTCAACTTTTTGCACAATTGACCTCAATGGTAATTGTGTACATGTTATAGCCTTACCCTTTTTACCGTAAGGAGGCTTGCCAGAACAAGGAGTCTGAGCTAAATTGCAAGTTCTAGATACTTGTTCTTTTTCAATTTTTTCTTACCTGTATTAGAAATACTTTAACAGAATGGTCTTCTAGGTCTGTCGCAGTGATGCACAGACTCTTGCGATTTGCTCTTTCTATCACCATCTGAGTCCAGAGTTTGGTGTTGAGAATCAGTCTCAAACTGCCTTGATTTCGCATAACTAAAACAGGAATGCTTATATATTAGACATTACATGGAAATTGAAACCTCCCTGTTGTTTCAGTAGATTTATTCAGTACTGCTATAAAAATCATATTTCCATTAACTTTGCATTTCAGGGGATTATAACCTAACATTTTGAAAGAGGTGGGGGGTTAAATTTCTTTACTATTCTTCGATATTTTTAAAGTTTCTCTTGATATTTTATACTTTTTGCCATATGATATAATGAAACAACCTTTCAAAACTACACAATAAAGTATAAGAACCTACTGCTCAATAAGCAGCACACCCCATAAGTCACTTGGAAGCAGGGCCGGCTCCAAGTTTTTTGCCGCCCCAAGCAAAAAATTTTTCCTGCGCCCCCCCGGCTCCGCCCCTTCCCTGCCCCATTCCAACCCCTTCCCCAAATCCTCGGCCCCGCCTACTCCCCCGGGCATGCCGCATTTCCCCTCCTACCCCTCCCTCCGAGGAGGGGTAGGAGGGGAAATGCGGCGCGCCCGGAGCTTGCCTGGGAGGGAGCGGGGAGAAGCGGAGTGGCGGCGTGCTTGGGGGAGCAGGCGGCAGTGGAGCGGAGGTGAGCTGGGGGGGGAGCGGTTCCTCTGTCCCCCCTCCAGGGTTACTTCCTCGACCCTCCCCGCGCCCCCCACTGCCGCAGCTCACCTCCGCTCCGCCTGCTCCCCCGAGCGCGCCACCGCTCCGCTTCTCCCCCCTCGCTCCCTCCCTCCCAGGCTTGCTGCTAAACAGCTGATTCGCGTGGCAAGCCTGGGAGGGAGGGGGGAGAAGCAGGGCAGTGGAGCGGAGGTGAGCTGGGGGGGAGCGGTTCCTCTGACCCCCCTCCAGGGTTACTTCCTGCGGTCCTCCCCCCACCTCCCATCACCACAGCTCACCTCCGCTCAGGGCCAGCCCCCGGCTTTTTGCGCCCCAAGCAACAAAAAATAAAAAAAGGAGCCGGAGTGCCGCCCCTTGGAAAGGGCCGCCCCAAGCACATGCTTGGAGTGCTGGTGCCTACAGCCAGCCCTGCTTGGAAGAAGCAGCACCTCTGGAAAAGCCAAATCAGAAAAGAGAGAACTAGTGCTAAAAAAATCTGAAAGCAGAAAGACATAGTGCTTAGTGACATCTGTGAATACCTGCAGCTCACAAAAACTGCAGTAGCAAGGGATGTTTAGTAGGTAGTTAACTTTATAGAGTAATAATGAAAAGGGCTTTGAGCAACTGGATATAAACAAACCCGGCTGCAGGATTACAAATGATGTTATATCCAATTGACTATGGCAGATGAGAGCATGATTAAGAAGTGGAACAATTTTTACCAAGCCTTGACTGTAATGTTCCATGTTTATTGCTTGAAGTGTCATTAAGCCTCAGGGATCCTCTTCCTCTTTCAGTCCAGGATAGTGAGAGTTTATTAAATACAAAAAGCTTGCAACTGATCTAAAGGGAAAAATGTTATGGAAAGTGTCAACTGATCTGAAATCTGTTGTGCCAGAGAATGCAGTTTATAGGTTTGACGTCTCTGTGCTATAACTTTTTACTTTACAGTTTGCATAAAATTAAGACAAATTTTAAAAATGAAATGAAAATTGCACTAACCCCAGATTTATGCTGAGTACCACTACTAACCAGGCTATGGGGAACATTTAGCATAGAAATACATTTCACTTTTATCTTTTCAATTTTTAACCCTTCTCTGTGAAATCCACCGACATCTCCATATTTCCTGAAGATGTCCCAGAATGCATCATCTTATGGCATCACTGATATCAGAAGTTTCATGCAACCCACTGTACCAGTACTGTCATAAATTGAAGCTAATGACCCATCCACATACACATTTCCCACATATGGATGGGAGAATGGATTCAAACAATCTTACAATTTTATATCTTTCCATTTTTAGATTTTTGTAATATATGCAAGTGTTAATTTGCCAAGAAAATAAAGAGTTTTAAGAATCTCGAGTAGCAAGATTTATCCTGCTGGCCTAAAATTACAATGATGTACCTTAGTTTTATTATAAAACCACTTACTTTGATAACTCAATAGTTTAAAAAAAATCAAACCTTTGTGTTTATAAAGTAACTTTAAGAGTACTTATAATTTGGGGGTTTATTTATTGGTGTTAGGGAATACTGGCTTATTGTGAAGACTGTTATAACAGACAATAGCAGAATGAGGCTTTGAAGCATGATTTTGGAGGTTGAAAGAGCTCTCTATATTCAGTATAGAGAATTTACGATGAAAAGCTACATATCAGCTTGAAAAAAAATTAGTTAACAGAAGCATATTTTTAAAAAAGAAAAACTTATACAGTTGTCCAACAAAGAAGTAGTACATACATATTCATGGTATTACAGTAGGCCATACAGTAGACCATAATGTGCTTTCTAAACATAAGTAGAAAGACTCATCATGCAATCTTTAGGAAAATATACCTGCAACACATTATGTTCTGCTTCTTCCCCTGTTATAACTTCAACTTTCTCTAACAAATATGTCTGTGCTGGTTTGGAAATGTAAGCCGCAGCTGATTCAATTAGTGTTGACTTCTTGACAAAAAATGTTTCTAAAGGAGAAATAAAAACAATAGAAAAGTCTAAAATTTCTACAGCAGGAATGTTTTAGTATGTCAACAATATGTCTATTTGTATGGTCTAGGTCTTTGTACGTTCCCCTTAGTGCTAGATATCAGTTAATGTTTTAATAAACTTCAGGTATTCCAGTATATTTTTAAAGAATAAGACCACGATCCAAGATTTCTGTATAGGCACACTGGTCTGTCCACAAGGAACAACTAGCAGGATCAAACCCTAACGAGTTAATAGTTGTGTTTCCAAATCAAATTCTTTTGTGATATTGCTGCTCAAAGTCATAATCATGAAAAACATAAGTCCCATAAATCATAATGGTAATAAGAGGGGTGTGAATATTCATCAGGAAAGAACATGAACAACTAGCTAAAATTGTAGTTGAAGTGACTTGTTCATAAACAAGCTATAGGTTGAAATGTGTTCACAAAGTATTCATCACACAGTTTGGATAACAAATAAATTTGTAAAACTCAAAGTCTATTCAAGGAAAACTTACAAATAAAAAAGTCTAAATTAATCAAATAATAAATTATTCGCTATGATGATAATCTAGCTCTAGTTTTGAGTCACAAACCAAATGACAATTGCTTTCTGGACACTTACATTTATGATGCACATCCCAATAGTATACTAATGACTGGATAACTTTAAAGTAAATACATGATCATTACTGAACACCACTAATTTGATGTCCTCTATGGTGCACTGAAATTGACCTATTGGTAGAGCCTCACTGTGTTTGTTTGCTAAGTAGTAATACTTACTACTATGTGAATAACTAATATGAAAAGTTTTGGCGTCTGTGGATGTTATTTCTTTCTTGCATAGATCAGTTTCATTATTCAGCTTGGGAGATTTCTGAGGACTCTAAAAAATTGAAGAAACAAGGAAAAACAGTTTAAGAAATTGTAACATTTATATGTTTGACATTAGCAGCAAGCTGAAAGATCAGGAATGTATTGAATCATAAAATACACAGCAGGGGTGAAGATTAGTTGAAATAATAGGTTAACATGCAAACTTTACTCCTACATACAAATACTGACATAGGATATAAGTAAACAAATGTTTGGTATTTCAGTCAATAGTGGAACTTTGTCCATTATTATAAAAGCCCCCAAAAGGTCATTAAGCAGGAACTGCAGTCTCTTCTTAAGAGAGACTCTGAGCTAGGAGAATAAGCTTCTTTCAATTTAAGTTTAAGGTGATCTGATAATAAAAGTGGAGAAGTTTAATAGGTATCTTTCCAAATTAATTCCTCATTTTACAGATCACCATATATACCCAAAATTTTAAAAAAGCATTGCAGAATTTAGAAATAATCACTCTCAGATATTTTAAACTATTACATTTAGCTGATTCTGCAGAGTGACAGTTTTCTCATTGTTCACATCTCCTGTATATCTGTATACTGCTAATCAAATATTTTCTTGGGAGTCAGAGGGGAGAAAGCCTACAGCTCTGAATGTTAAAAAGTCTGAAGTGGTTTGAGCTATAACAGAAAATTGCTAGAATTGATTTTCCTACTGAAGGACCAAGTCTAAAATTTGGGCCACCTAAGTTGTGCCCATGAAATGTGCGCACAAGCCAGCTGAGCATACGCAACAAGTAACTGCCTGTGCAGATGAGCACTGACATATATAATTACCCATTTTGGACCAATCCTGTGAACAGCTATACATGTTTAACTTTACTCACGTGACTTGACTTCGAAGTGATGACTCATGCATTTACAGGACTGGGGGCTTTGTATGTACATATGACAAATGTTGTGGTCACAATTTAGGTGACCATCTTTGAAAATGTGACCCTCAGCATCCAAATGCCAACTTTTTCAGAAACAGAAGAAAGAAGAAAAATTTCAATATTTACAAATCTTACCAAAACTCTCTCTACCATGTTTTCTCCAAACACAAAAGTAGAATTTCTGTTGTTTAAAAAAGTTACATCTTCTACTGGCTGATTTCTAGAGGAACAAAATATGTGAAAAATATCAATGAGACTTTGTAAAAGATGCAAATATAACATCTATAACTGCATACATTTACCTTTCCAAACCTTACATTAAAACAAAAATATTGGCCTACTGGGAACCATAGAGAATACTCCATTAAAGGAATTTAGGGAGATACATTGTATTTCATGTAGAATAATGAGACTGTTCCTTAAAGACTAGATAGTGCCAAAGCCACAAGCCACTGTTGCAGCACCCCAGGAGCAGTATAGGGAAAGAATCATGCATCAGAGAGGCACACTTCTCTCCCTACTTCCTCTTATTCCACCAAACTGCTACCGTCCCTATGTCAGCTTAGCTGTGCCAGCCATCAGATCCACCCACTCCCCTATCTTCTTCATCTTCTCCTTGTCCATCTGTTTGGGGAACATAGAGGGGCAGGTGCACAGCTTACTTCAGTGTACCTACATATAGATTATGTCAATGCTGCAATGTAAGCATGGGTTCAGACCAGGGTTGAGCCCAAATCCTCCTTCCGTCTACATACAAATCTCTCAGACTCAGGCTTAGACCTAGGGTCCTAGGACCCTGCAGAGATTGAGAGTCGAAGCCAGTGTCAAACCATGACCCAGGGTTCAAGCCCTATTGCTTTGAAGTATAGATGCAGCCCTGCTTGACTTGGGTCCTGGGAGTCTGCCAAAAGTATCCCATAATCCCAAAGGCCACCTTCTTTTGTCCTCTCTATTGCAAAAATCTCCAAGAGTTGAAAATGGAAGCTCCCCACTTGGCAAACAGCAGCAGTTCAGTGAGTCAGCTTTAACCCTTCCATTTTCTTCTGACCACCAAAAGGAAGGGATGCAGATCAGGATAAGTAAAGAACACGACAGAGATCTTTTGACCAATTTGAATGAATTCAAGTCAGTGGGCCTGATGCTGTTCACCCCAGGGTACTGAACGAATTAGCTGTAGAAATCTCGGAGCCACTGGCAATAATATTTGCAAACTCATGGATGACAGGAGAGGTCCCGGAAGACTGGAGATGGTCCAATGTAGTGCCCATCTTTAAAAGGGGGGGAAAGGAGGAGCCGGGGAACTGTAGACCAGTCAGGCTGACTTCAGTACCCGGGAAGCTACTAGAGCAACGTATAAAACATTCAATTAGTGAATATCTGCAGGTTGAAGGGCTAATCACTATCAGATAGCATGGATTTACTAAGAAACAAATCATGTCAAACTAGTTTGATTGCCTTCTTTGACAGGGTAATTGGTTTGGTGGATAGGGAAAATGCGGTGGACATAATATACCCGGACTTCAGCAAGGCTTTTGACGCAGTCCTACATGACATTCTGATAAATAAGGTGCAGAAATGTGGGCTTGGCGGAACTACCATTAAGTGGATACATAATTGGTTATACAACCACAAACAAAGAATAACTATTAATGGAATGATGTCACATTGGAAGGAGGGCTCAAGTGGGGTTCCACAGGGATCTGTTCTGGGTCGAGTGTTGTTTAACATCTTTATTAATGACCTGGATGTAGGTGTAGAGAGCATACTGATCAAATTAGCAGATGACACAAAGCTAAGAGGATTTGCCAACACTTTTGAGGATAGAGCTAAAATTTAGAGGGATATTGATAAATTGGAGAACTGGGCTGTAGACAACAAAATGAAATTCAACAAAGACAAATGTAAGTTTGCTACACTGAGGGAAGGAAAACCAAATGCACAAATACAGAATAGGCGATAACTGGCTTGACAGCAGCACTGCTAAGAAGGATCTAGGAGTTGTGGTGGATCACAACCTCAACGTGAGTCAGCAATGTGATGCTGTTACAAAAAAGCAAATGCAATTTTTAGTTGCATTAACAGAGGAGTCACGGGAGGTGATAGTATCACTCTACTCAGCACTGGTTAGGCCTCAGATGGCATACTGTGTCCAATTTTGATCACCAATTTCAAGAAAGGATGTAGAGAAACTGGAAAGAATCCAAAGGCGAGTGACAAAGATGATCAAAGGGATGGAATGCAAGCCATATGAACAAGGCTGAAGGAACTGGGTATGTTTAGTTTGGAAAGGAGAATATTAAGGGGGGATATGATAGCAGTCTTCAAATACTTGAAAGGCTGCCATAAAAAAAGATGGAGAAAAGTTGTTCTCTTTTGCCACAGAGGGCAGGCAAGAGGCAATGGGTTCAAACTACAGCATAGCAGATTTAGATTACATCTCAGGAAAAACTTCCTAACTGTAAGAATAGTTGGACAATGGACCAGACTGCCTAGGGAGGTTGTGGAAGCGCCTTCCCTGGAGGTTTTCAAAAGGAGGCTGTATAGCCATCTGCCTTGGATGGTTTAGGCACAACAAATCCTGCATCTTGGTAGGGGGTTAGACTAGATGACCCTTCTGGTCCTTTCTAACCCTATGGTTCTAGGATTCTAAACTGCAAACACACCATTCGAGAGACTTCTGTGTTTGCAATGGAGACTGAACAGAACAAGCCTTTTGCAAAACAGGCATCTTCATGGTCCTGGGAGTGAAGCCAGACTTTGGTGAACATCTGTTGTGAGGCGAGTAAAACTGTGACCTTCAGTAAAAATACCAGTAATGATCATGCATACCAGAAGATAGTGAACAAGCTGGAAGCTTTGCAAATTTACTGGATCACTGACCAATGTGGGGAGCAGATTAGGTTGCTCAAAAGTGAGGACCAGAGGACCAGGGACCAGAACTGCACCTCAGACAACTCGCCAACATTGTGCCCATTTTATGAGGAGTTTGACTGGGTGCTGGGCACTGCACCCAATACAGAACCAACCGTTGTGCATGATGACCTGGTCAGCCAGAATGGTGCCTGCTGGCCTCAGAATCCAGCATGGGGACTGATGGGAGCCAGCAGCAGGCATCAAGTGAGGACCATGAAGTAATTCTCTTGCAGAAACCAGTCCCAGATCATGCTTTAGAACAGGATCAGCAGCAAATTCTGGGTCCATACTCAGAGGACCTGTTTTATGTCCCCCCATGGAACAGCTCACTGCCAAGCCTGCAGCAGACATGGAAGGGACAGAAGCCGCCCCTGAGCCTGGAAAGTTTCTGCCTCCAAATTAAAATGTATTGCTACAGAATCAGAGGGATTTCCACTCTAAGAACTAATGCAAAAGTTATGAGATTCCCCAGCTAGCAGCATGTATCCAATATTGGTGGATTGTATCCCAGTGCCTTGGCATCCCCACTCCCCGCCACCATGTGGAATTCAACATGGCGACTGGGAAATACAAATAGTAAAGAACACCTTTAAAGTGTATTTTTACCAGAAAGGCACAGATTTTTGCTAGGGCCATTCCTGTTTCTTAAAAATAACATTACATTGCCATGCCTTTAAGTTTGCTGCTCTATAATCACTCAACAGTCTGTGGAGCTGGGCAGGGCAACTAAACACCTGGCAGCTCTCCATCTTGCCCCCTCTCCTCTTGGTATCTCCACCTCAGCACCAAGTGTACAGAAAACAAGGAAAGAAGAGAAAGGAGAATGGAGGCCAGGGGACATGCAGTGGTAGAGTGATTCTGTTGTGTTTGCACTGGTTCATACACTTCGTTTGTTTGTTTTGGAAATGTTCTTTTGTAACTGTTTCGGTGTTTTAATGGCAATGGGTGACCGTTGCAGTGTTTTAACACATTTATAAATAAAGCCTTTTATGTCATCAGGAAAGTTTATTGCTATACTGCATCTCATCATACAATCATGATTTGAAATAACAAAGCTAAACACATGATCAGGAACAACTAGGAATTACTACACACAGGCTATTCCTCTATACAGTTAGGTACAACAAGTCACACATCACTAACTTCCTGATGTGAATCCATACTGTGAATCATCCCCCACTCTATCCCCAATTCATAATTCAGCATGTCATTCATAAGTACATTGCATGACAATCAAGTCCCCACCCTTTCCCAAGCACTGAACCCCCAAATCAATTAGCCCCTTAACTCCCACAAGCAGATTCATAAAGGTACTATTCCCCCTCTTCCATGGGGCTATGGAAGTCCATAACATAGGAGCACAGAGCATTCCTGACTGCTGTTGCCTGTGTGCATCTAGCTCCAGCTGTGGTAGGTGCACTTTCTGGCTGAGTGTTCAGCAACCCCTTGCTGTCATAGGTCCATTCAGGGGGAAATGGGTCACCTCTTCCTCCTGGTCCATCTCGTGCTTTTGGTGGCTCAGAAAAAATTGCCGAAATGTCCACCAGTGCCTCATGGAAGCTCTGCCCGTTTCCCGTCTCAAGAGTGAAAGTGCAAGCCAGACAACTTCTTGAAAACGGGTCTCCTCCATGTTGTTCATCTGGCTGTGTCGGTGGGCTGTTCAACCTTCCTATAACATGCAGGGTGGGCAGTAAAGTTTTCCCACAGTGCACCATGGACAACGGGCTAGAGTGGCCACATTTCAGGAGGGCACTAGGGAGTCTGGGATATGGATGGTTTGAGTTGGGTCTATATGATGCATTGTGGATGCCAGAGCCCCAAGTTCAAGCCCAGGTTAGAAAATTCTTAAGGTAGGGTTAAAAATCAGTGTAGACACTCAAGCCCTGGGTTCTCCAACACAGGTCAGCTGACTTGAATCCCACTAAGCCTGGGCTTACACTACAGGGTAGACATACCCTTAAAGTCCAGGTAACTCATGCAGAGGTGTAAGGGGAAGTTCTTACTCCCCTGCATAGGCATATAGTTCAAGTTATAATCTGCCTATAAGCCTTCTTTTCCTTTTTTGGCTGATGTGTGCATTTTTTTCAGCTAACAGCTACACAGACACATGTAGAGAAACAAGCCAGAGGACAAAACCGAACACATGCTATTCTTTAGACACACAGAAAAAAACCCACAACGCTTTGACTAACTTACCCTATTGTTTTAGGGCTAGAAAGATGCATGGAGATAGATGGCCTCACTGTTGTCTCGGAACTTGCTGAGTTTTCTGCTGGGCAATAAGAGCTCTCTTCAGATAACTGGAAACGATTAATATGATCAATGGAAATGTTGGAAAAAATTAATTTTGGCTCATCTTGCACTATAAATAGTTTTACCGGAAATTAGGCCCTGCAAAGCCAAATGCGCTTGAGAAAGTATTTCTGACAAGAGTAAGCCTATGCATGATGGGTCCACTTTCATGAGTTAAGATCATTCATGTGGTGGTTTGCAGAGACAGGCCCATGTTTATTGTGTGAAGCAAGCCAGTGCAATTCCTAACCAGATTTTTAAAAAAATTCTTAGAAAGTAATGTTTTCCCAACCCTCTACCCCAAATTCAGATTGATTTACAAGTTTACAGCAGCTGCACACTCATCAAGCAACCATATGGGCAGTTTAGCAAGGGCTGGATTTTCCAAAGCGCTCAGTATTGGTACAATTGCTCCACTGAAGTCAAAAGCAAAACTCCTGTTGACTTCAATGGGAACAGAATTAAACTAATATTGAAGAGTTCTCTGTAAAATACTTAATTTCAGTGAAATATTATTAGAGCTCAGGCCGATGGAAAAACCCCCAGACATGTATATTTGACATTGAAGTTACATTTTTACCTGAATATTTGCTTTCTCTTTAGTTTTGGAAGATGCCAGTGTATTTTCAGTGCACATCTGCCTTCTTTCCTCACATATCTGAGACTGTGGTGGCTGTAAAATGGCAGGTCTTATGACAGTCCACTGCTGAATTTGTGACAAGGGTCCTTACAAAATACAAAATAAAAGATTAATATATGCAACCTTTCCTTCACATTTAAACACCACATTTGTGTCTTGCTTTTTCTGACTCATAATGTAGATATGCTGTGGAATTTTAAATTAATTGTATGTAAGTGTTATTGTTAATATCTGCCACCCTTTCCTGTTCGAAGTCCCTTCTAAAAACCCTGCCAAATAAAGGAGTGATGTAATATTTAATAAAACAAATCTGCACTGATTGTGATAAATCCATCTTCTGATTATATGAAGCTTGATTCTGCACCCATGGAAGTCGACAGGAGTTTTGCCTTGACTTCACTGGGAGCAGAGTTCAGTCCTTGTTAACATTATGTATCGGAAATGTATGCTTGGGATGATATTCATTCCTGAGCAGTGGTCTGAACATGGCCCATGAACCACTTAAGTTTTCAAAATAGGGCTTTAAGTGGAATTAAGTGGTTTACAGGCTTATAATACAGGCCTTCTGCACAGGAGGTGAATATCAGCTGTAGAGAGTAAGCTGGCTGGGCCAGCGACTGTCTACGTTTTACCTGCTCTGTACAGTGTTGAGCACACTGTGGATCAATGACTAATAAATATTACAATATTAACAATAGTTACCTTTTTCTGTTCTTGTGATGTCATGGTTTCTTTGGAGAAGAGCTGAGGTCATGAATATGTTATTCTTTACTGCAAAAGAAGTGTTTATCCACAGTGCTTAATTGTTTATCTGCATTTCTGTAGCCCCCATCACTGCAGCATCTGAGCATCTCACAAACATTAATGCGTTTATTTCACACCACCTCTTTGAGGAAGGAAAATATTATCCCCATTTTATGGAAGGGGAAACCTAGGCACAGTGAGAATGACTTCCCCAGGAACTCGAAGACAGAGCCAGGAATTGAATCCAGATATCCTGGGTGTCAGCCACTACTTTAACCACACAACTGTCCTTCTTTAGCTTTACAGCTCACGGGCATGATAATGTCATCCAGTCAGAATATCCTTTCAGATCAGCAAAAGAGACCCAGGAGTACGATGGAAATTCTGGAGATCTAGCATGTGCTGGTAGTGATGACCCTCATGATAACTAATGATGGTCAGTGTGTGGCACTGCTGCTGCTGCTGCTGCTGCTTTTATATGGTTTCCAAATGCTACCCAGAGATGTTCAGAAGGGCTGCCAGCCTTGTCCCATCAATAACGTGTTATAAAATTACATGTCTCAGAATCCACATATGAACTCCTCCATTCCATTCCAAGATGATTCTGGTTTGTTGCTATATCAATTTTGTACCCTTACCAGATTATTTGGAAACCCCTAATCAACAATTTTTTTAATCCAAAGGTTTTCAATGTGGGAGTCATAAACAGGTGTCATGGTTTGTGACCACGCTGCACTTCCCTTATGGATAAATGGGAGAGTGATCCCTGCTAAATCTTGGCTAGAACACGGAGAGTGTTCCCAGTATGGAAAATGGTGTCACTGAATATGCGAATCACTGTTTTAGTCCAAACATATCTAGCTCACACCATTTCTTCAACTCCATTCTGTGTTTACTGTCCATAATATTTGACATAATATTTTATAGGTTAATATAACCTTCCACCTACTTGCTACAAGCCTTTGTAAATCTCAAAAACATCTGAGTTGCAACAGTGAATAGACTGCACAACCCAGTGCAGCATATGGCATAGGCTGCTTGCGTCTCATCCAGCAAGCTCTCTCATGCGCAGAGTATTCCCTAGCACCAGGAGATATTAGTGCGACATTAGTGCCATCTACTGAATCACCAACACGGCTTGTTGAACATCGTGAAGTTCCTTTCTCTCATTCACATACTGACTTGGCCCAGCCCAGTTAGCTCAGTCCCACAGAAATAGCAGTTTTATTTTGTTATTTTACTGATTTTTGGTTTAAGTGAATATTTACTGAATAATATTTTTAATTACCCGGCTGTGATGGAGGAAAGGTCGGAAGGATGGTACAGGAAGATGATCTCACTCTTTTCTGAGAGAGTGCAGTATCTGAAAACATAAGAGACTGAAATTATCCTTTGTTCAAAGCACAATATGTTCAATATGGATTTTTCATGTTAGCAAAATGTATTTGTCATGGATGAGCAGAATCTACCTGTATCGGGCAACTATTAAGGCTTTGTAGCGTAGACTTTGAATTTCCAACCCTTGCTAGCACTAGTGCAGTTTCAGCATAGAGAAAGTGCTGCCAGCTGCCAGCATTTTTGACCATGCCATCATCTAGCCCAGGGGTAGGCAACCTATGGCACGCGTGCCGAAGGCGGCACGCAAGCTGATTTTCAGTGGCACTCACACTGCCTGGGTCCTGGCCCACCGCTCCAGGGGCTCTGCACTTTAATTTAATTTTAAATGAAGTTTCTTAAACATTTTTAAAAACCTTATTTACTTTACATACAACAATAGTTTAGTTATATATTATAGTCTTATAGAAAGAGATCTTCTAAAAATGTTAAAATGTATTACTGGCACGCGAAACCTTAAATTAGAGCGAATAAATGAAGACTCGGCACACCACTTCTGAAAGGTTGCTGACCCCGATCTAAACATTCTCAGATTAGGGCTAGATGTCATGGTGGTTCAAGTGCCAAGAGGTTAGTCTACACTGGTACTCCTATTGTTGCTACCACCAATGATACTGAACCCAAAGGTAGGAAAATATAGTACAGGTACAGCCTAAGGGGGTTATTATAGCAAAAGTCTGTGACTACCAGTCTTTTTTTTTTTGTATGGTGCGGTTCAGGTCTAAGTAGATGTAGGAATGATCTAGGTGTGATTTTAAGGGTAGATAAAGTTAGGTTAATTTTACCCTTTTAACTAAATGGGTTAAGTTTATCAACGGCTGGGTGAAACAAAATATTATTTACCTACATTAAGGCCCAAATTTTGAGGAAAGCATATGGCCCCATCATTACAATAACGACACACTTTAAAATAGAATTTCTACTACACATGCTCAGTACATAGTGGTCTGCAGTGACTTGTGTGTGTGTTCCCTCAATATTGTGGAAATAACCCCACCGCCTTGAAGGGGTTTCCAAGTCAGATGATAACTAGTTGGAGGGGAAAGCCCTTGTCAGCATGGCTTCTCAATTCCATGGGTCCCCCTGGGCTTATGGGGTTGAACAGTGAACATCTTCCACAGGGTAGGAAATCCTGCCTTCCCTTGACCTAGTCAAAAGATTCCAGGGAAACTCATAATTGAAACACATGGACCTTCCACTGCCTTATGTGGAAATAACTCACGTATGAATCGGGGTCCCTCTGTTAATTTAAAACCAATATTTTTTCAGACTTAGGAAGGAGCAAGTTCCTCACTGAGAATTACTTGCAGACTAACTTTGAAGTTTAAAAGTTTTGCTGACTTGGAATTATTCTAACCAAAATGTGTATCTGAATAATGAGGAAAATATTTTTTCTAGCTTATCAATTTATAAAATATAATTACAATTATAACCAAATTGAGCTAAATGACATACCCATGTAGAACTGCGAGTCGGACGTTTGGAAAGTAAAAGATGAAGATCTTGCCCGTTTCCTGGAACAACCAATGAAATCTAAGAGACACATAACATATCATGTACTGTAAAATCAAATTTTCCAACAGATTTCAGTAAATTATTGCAGTACAGAATTCTAATATTAAAGGTCTAAAATTAAAGCCTGGCCTGGACCTGACCTGAGTACAGACAACCCAAACTAACCCAAGAGTATTAAGTCATTTTTAGATGCAACTCAACCCAACACTTCCCCCGAATCTGAGTCAGTGTGACTGCCTCGTCCTTGGGGCTTGGCCTGCTGGGGGCTTCCCACTCCCCACATCCCTTGCCTGCAAATCGTCTCCAGCTGCCGCCTGCCCATGGGGTCAGTGCAGTGGGGGCTGCATGCCTCATCCTGCTGGCCACTGCTGCCTTGCTGTGCTGTGTGTGCTGCAGAGTGAGAGGCAGCAGCCACTGTGCTGACCTCATGGACAGGAGGAGGTGCTCAGAGATGACTAGACCCAACATGACCTGAGAGGTTTTGGGCTGTTTTTAGATGCAACTTGACCCAAATCCGATACTTGTAGTTGGACCCCATTGGGTTTGGGTCAGGTTGCAGGGCTCTAGCAGAATCTACTCATGGAACGGGCTCTTGATGCCTCATTAAAGGCCTGATCCAAAGCCCATTGAGATCAATTCCACTCCCACTGACTTCACTGGGCTTTGGATCAGGCCTTTTTTCACTATGCAGCAGGCTGTATGGCACTCAGCTGATTTTAAAGAGACGGCTGTAACAGGACTCTGGATTCACCGTACACTTCCATGTATGGGGTCACGTTATAACAAGACCTGAAGGAAGTGAAGAGATCATTCAAAATCTAACACTTGTGTGAGTGCTGCAGGGGAGCTGAAATTTGGATCGGTGTGTGTGTGTGTGTGTGTGTGTGTGTGTGTGTGTGTGTGTGTGTGTGTGTGTGTGTGTGTGTGTGTGT